ATAATTTTTCGAAGTAGAATCAAAAGATCCGAACGCCGGGTCGTGTCTCACGAGGAAGGTTAGCCGGAATATTATGCGCGTTTATTTAAGCACAATAAAAGAATTAAAATATCTAAACATTCTAATTAAGATGATTGGTTTGGTTTTAAATTAACAACTACTAGAATTTAAATAAAGCAAATTAAATAGCAAGCGAACACGTAGAACAAGTAAGATTTGAGAAGCTAGGGAGTCGGGGATATCCGTTTTGGTTCGAAAATGTAATTATCAAGCAAGAGATTGTTCGGTTAAGTGATTTGAATAACCGGTTCGTTCAAGTACTCATTCTCAATAACTCTTCGTAACAAGCGAACAAACATAAACGACAAGTTAACAAGTCATTTAACACCTAGGCAATACAATTACGAACAAGCCTAGTTTATACGAGCTTACTTCCACCGACTCCTCCCCTTTCGGTTCACAACGTCGATTAAAGAAGACCAAAAGGTGGTGAATCAACTAGCCGTTTAGAATTTTCAAAATCATGCACGAATTAAACGAATTCAATTAAAATAATTGGACATTGAAGTGTCACCCTTCAATAATTCTCAAAACTCAAGCCTGACAATTGACAAATCCAAGAAAAAGAGCAACTCGTACAAATTGAACAATCACGAACATGATAATCACAAACGAATTCAAAACATCAATCCCCTATCCCTAGCATAATGATTTAGCTACTCATGATCGAATAATCAACACAAACATCCATAATCAAAGCACACATATCCACGGATTAAAAGTATAGAAAACTTATGATTAATGGAAGATGAATGATAATCCGATAAACAAGAATAATTCGAAAGAAATAGCAAAATCCAAAATCCAATCCATGTTCTACGTCCCGAATTATCAAAGAAAGATGAAAAATAACAGTTTTTAAGGGAAAGGATCGAAAGAGAGTAAAAACCTAGGTTCGAACGTAATAATAACCAAGTTCACAAATTGCTTTTTAAAAATTTGCACATCGCGCAGGTCGCGGCCAGAGGCTCGCGGGCCGCGGTGAAGAAGTCCGCGGCCGCGAGATCCTTCGAGGCCGCGAGTTCCGAGTAGCTGAAATTGGGCGCTAGGACCTGCTTTATTCGCCGCGGTGATGGTGAAGAAGGAGTCGCGACCGCGGGGAGAAAATCTGGGCAGCTGCAACACGGCGTGGAAGAAGAGACGCGGCGTGAGGGAACCAGGTGCCACGACGCGGCAGCAATCCCGCGGCGTGAGAGAGCTCTTCTTCGCGGCGCGACGGGAGGTTTGCACCGGCATGGTATGGCAGCATGGCGTGAGGGGGTTTTTCATCGCGGCGCAACGGTGAAGACTGAAGGTGCGTCAAGGGTGTTGCGAGCAGGCGGACTTTAAGCTCAATCAAATCATGTTCTCATCACCATGATGTTGTAGTCGGTGGATGCTCGATAAACGCCTGAATGGGTTACCGAGTGTTGGGGTCGCCGAAGGTCGATGATGACCACGAATGAGGGCCCGACGAGGCGTGAGAGATGATGATTTCTGGTCTGAATATAGAGGAAAAATGTGTGATATGGGCCGAGAGCTTTAGCTTCTTTGGACTGCTTCGTGCTTCGTGTCTCGTGTTCGTCCGAGTTCATTTAGAAACCGAATTCGATTTCGTTTCCCGCCAAATCAATTTCTTCCTTCATATCAAAATTGGCCAAGGACTCGACATGCACACCACGTACGAAGAAATACCAGAAAACAATCGAAAAATATAGAAAATACTCGAGCTAAAGGAAAACACATAATACACTGCAAAAACGAAAATAAACCGACGAAAAGACCTAAAAATGGGGAAAATAAAGAAAAAAATAATAACAAAAAATGTAACAAAAATGGGACAAACAACTCCCTCACACTAAGACCTTTCTTCGTCCCGATCAAAGAAATGAAAAGAAACAAAAACAAACAAACGAGTATGGATAATAGTTTCAGATAAGACAAGTCTCGAATTAATCAACTTAGCCGAGAAGACTCCCAATGACCAATCACGCATACCTCAATTACACTTGAATGCAACATATTGAGAACACCGACGCTCAAGCATGAAAATAAAGAAAAAAAATAATAACAAAAAATGTAACAAAAATGGGACAAACAACTCCCTCACACTAAGACCTTTCTTCGTCCCGATCAAAGAAATGAAAAGAAACGAAAACAAACAAACGAGTATGGATAATAGTTTCAGATAAGACAAGTCTCGAATTAATCAACTTAGCCGAGAAGACTCCCAATGACCAATCACGCATACCTCAATTACACTTGAATGCAACATATTGAGAACACCGACGCTCAAGCATGATAATATCAAATGTATATGCCTCACTTAGTTTCTTTCATAACTATGAAGTGGGTACGCTCAAATTGGTCGGTAATCATGTTTCAACATAAG